GCAATAACTTGATGGAGACAAATTTACTTAATTTGAACAAAAGGTAAGAGTACAGTAGGCCTACAATATTACCGTAAGAAGAGCTTAACTTTTCATAACAACACAATTGGATGTCACCCTATAATCATACAAGGTTGCCATCCCTTATATTCTGTCCATTGACAACCCTCCCCCTTCACTGGACCAAGCAGCCTAACCAGAGGCTGTATGAAAACAATACACATCAGTGAATTTTGAAAATCGAAGCTGATAATCTGGGGCAGGGGTGTTTTTTTGGTCCGGAGGGGAAACATAATGCCCCGGGGTTACCCTCGTCTCGGCTTGTGTCCGATCTTTTGACCCCCCCCCCCCATATATCCCCCCCAGGACAATATTGCCTACGCTTGAACGGACACATTCTCACTCCACTTGCGGTGTAACCCTACTTAGCAGGGGCTCTGTGTGTGTTGTATACCGTCGGGGGAGGTTGCATTTCATTTGGTTTGTAATGCTTGAAGCTGTACTTATATTTTATGCGGTGGACATTTAAAAAACTTGTATTTTTACTGTATTTGACATTTAGCTACGGTTTGGTTAAATATTTAGTTGTTTTAGTAACTAAAGCTGGATTACGATGGTACTGTACTTATAAAATAAATATACAAAACAATAACGAGTAGAGCATGAAACAGTGGTCAGTGGTTCTAGGTGTAGCAATAACTAGACCAGCAGCGTTAACTACAGATAGATGCAAACAATTTGACCTACGACAGAATGTGTTTATGTCAATTATTGATTTTATCATATAGTATAGACATCAGTTCAACCAAGCCAGATTAATAAATACAACGACTATAAAAAAAATATATTTTTAGGTCAAATGAGCTCTCAAAGAAAACAAGCTAGGAAATCCAGAAATGTGTAACACCGGTATAGTTCATTCAACCATGAAATGTCTGAATAAAATATCAGCTACGGCTAGTCTATATTGGAGGGAAGTCTACATTAATATCAATAGTGACTGATATCAGTGCTTAGAACACATAACAGTTCTATGTAAATTCGTAAGCTGCAGTATTGTCTGTTTGTGAACACTACTTTCTCATCTGAAGTGAGATAAATCTGACATCATCAGTGTTTTACGTGAATCACCAACAAGCAATAGTCACTCCAAACAAACCCAGACTTCATGACGAGTAGTGAGTTCGTTATGCGCGCAATTCACGTCCATAACTGGCGCGTTTCATTAAATGCATAAAAGATGATTGCGAAAATAAAACGAAACAAGGCCGAGTTGATCAAATTGTCGAATAAACATTGAAACAGCGCCGGATACAACGGCGTTATTACAATGGGAAATAAAATAACCCGAGAGTCGGTTAACAAAGGGCATTAAAAAGCAAAACCCTGTTAGAGCTCCCCTCGCAATCATACCGCTCCTCCGCTGCGGCTACACGAATGTTTTATACACTTGTTTGTTACATTCAAACAATATGTTGTGCATCGATGTTTTTGTTTAACAACTTGTTTCTGGTTGGAATATTTTTATTTGGGTGATTTAAATCCCCGCAGGGTGTTTGAATATTTGTAGTGGACGTTTTATATTAAGTTGTAATTCGTTTTCCACCAAAGTGGGTTTAGTTTTCCCCTTTAACGTAACAAGCCTGGTACCAATGCTGTTTGCAAAGAGATATCGATGAAAATTATTTTTGAGGTTTCTGATTGGCCTCATGGTGGTCGGTGTAAATACTTGAAAAGATAACCAAATAAACCTTTGAAGGCGAGTACAAATACTTCCAAGAATGTCGGAGTACTTTTTTCATCTCATACATAAATAAGTATTTTACTAATAGCAATGTTAATACAATGTTACTACATAATAGGTTAGATTTTTTGATATATTGAAGTAACCGATCGGGATTTAAAGCACACGCGGTGTGAAAATGAATAAAACCAACTGAGGCAAACAGAAATAATCGGATTTGATATTTTCGTCACTTCAATTTCCACTCTGACTATTCTAACAGTTACTCCCTCGCAATACATGTTGCACCTCTCACGTGATTATTTTCTCAAACCCAGCTGCAAATCATATTCCACATGTACACATTGTATGAACGACGAATCTCCATGATAAAAAACCAGAAAGCAACGAACAAACTGAGACACATAAACCATAAAGACAGAATCGTCGAGTTGTTTTTGTTCCGACCGAATAAAAGCTGGCAAGGGATGGGATTAACCTGGGGGCAATATGTTGAAGGGGTGAGGGACGGGGTTGCTTGGCATTCAGCACCAGTTCTGTACTTTCCGTGGGGAGGGGGGGGGGTAAAATAAATGCCAGGCCGACTCGAACAAACCCGTGGAATACTGATTGACCGCTGTATCTGAGAGAAGCGACTGCCTCCCTCTATTGGGGATAAAAAGAATAGGTAAACTCAAACCGATCGAACATTGTATATGTGAACTCACTGTCTGCGTCTGCGGGTTTGTAGCTAAAAAAAATCCGTATCGTTGTTTTGTTTAGCCACAAAAGTAGTGTATTTCCTAATTGTATATATAATGCCAGTAATTGACCTACAAAATACCTACAAATTGATAAATCGGTGGCGCGTTTCCAGGTCCAGGTGTATATGGCTGTGGCGACTAGCGCCACGTCTAGCATGATGGACTAATCGCAGAAAGCTATGTCGTAGTTCCGGGACCCGATGTAATCACTAATATTTTTTGAGTAAAGTTAGAAAAGTTCCTTCAACACTGTCTCGCTTTGCTTAATGGGTTCCAGACTCAAACCCGAGGCCAATGTGGACAGGTTGACAACCACCAACCTATTTTTTTTGTTTTTGCAAAAAAAAATATGTTGAAGCCAAAATGAACAAATACTCCCTACTTCTAAGAGCACTAAATTGGCCATTTACCACGCCGTTGTCGTGATAACAGCCGGAAGTGAGGTCGGAGGCTCTGGCAACACCGGAAGTGGCCGAGGGGTGCGTCATATCTAAGGGTGCTTATCTCGGAGCGGTTATTAATCTGTGAAATGAGGGGAGCGTTTAATGCGGGGCGTTAGTAGGGAGAAAAGAGGGTTCTGGCACTTGTAGTAGTGGGGGGGGAGGGGGGGGCAAGTGCAATAACTGTAAATAACAGTGGCAGTGCTTTGGACCAGGCTGTAATAAAGATTAGATTTGTTGTGGTAAAGCACAGTTTTATGGACAATAGTCAGCTCGTATGTGCATTTTATGTCTTTATGTTTTATGTCGTATACTTGAGCTTAATTTTTAATAGGGGAAATTACTGTTGCGTAAATTGTTATATCGACACCGAAATTGTACAATTTAGGTAGCGATTGAGAGCATTGTGTTTACAGATAAAAAATTACTGGGTCATAATCGCTGGGTTAGTTTGCAGTTAGGCAAAATATGATTTTAAATGTCCAACGAAAGAAATGACAATAATTTTATTTCATTAAGTGTACATAAATGCTAATCAAGTAATCAAGTAATCGAACTGTAGAAGCGCTAAAACTGTAGAATTTAATTATTAGTATTTATGAGAGTTATTTAACAGTTTTGTTTACAGACTTTAAAGCAAACCAACCAGTTAGAGTACTTAGCACAAAGCAAACGATATTTTTTGTATCCAACTAAGGAAAAAGAATTGTTTTTTAAACCACAGAGATAATTTCGAAGCATTTCCCCGCAATTGCCGCAAACACGCCAGTAGCGGCCAGATATGTTGTAAAAGCTCAGTTTTGTTTCAACTCTTTGCCGATAACCCGACAGATATTTTATTCCATCTCCGCAACCCTTTTGTCATATTTTATCCAGTAAATGTTTATTTCTGACGGTTCGATCAATTCGACAAATACAGCGGATCGTCGCGTTTTTGTTATATTTTGTTTTCGAATGACGAAACTCCCAATGTACCCGATCATTTATCTTTTATCGGTTTTTCTATCGAATTGATTGATTGGTCGGACGTTGCAGTTTTTATATGCCGCGATTGAAAAGCGTTCGTTAATTGGAAATCCGTTATTGAAAAGGATGAAAAATAAATTGCTTAGTTATTTTTACCAGACTGATTTTTATTGGGGAGATTGGAAAGAGTATCTTTTGGTTTCCCCGAAATAATTTTGGACGTCATGTTTTACCAACAAAACCAGCAAGTAACGCTAACTACTACTACTGTATACCTTTCGTAATGGATTACTTTTCAAGAAGAAAATTCATATTTCTAATACACTTGTGTTTAAATGTCTATCTAACTAAAGGCTTCATAATATGCAAGTTTAAAATAAATAATGTTAAAAAATGTTTTTGAGCCAACTACTTAGATAAACCGAGAAGTCTATTACACGTTTGAAATATTCGGTATTTACGCGTTTATATTTAGCAAATAATGTATAGTCGGAGTCTGCCTCTGAATAACTCTACGTTCGCGTTGTGGTATCCGCTCCCAAACTGCGAGTTCGGACCTCGGACCGTTCCGCTGCTGAATTCCTCCAAGGAATGCTCCAGAAGCTGGCGAATTCTCCCCACCTTGTTAATATTCCGCCGTCGCTTACGAATTCCGCATTTATTTGATATGCGGCAGGCGAGTATCTGCCTTTATAAGGTATTCAATACGTCTGCCTCTGCCTCCCACACGCGAAAACTCGAATATTCCGCGAGCGATTTGTTGCTAACAAACACATTGTCCGAAATGTTATTGGATTTTACGAGAGAGTACTTCTTTTTTATCTTCAAGATATACTTATCTGTTTGCAAAATTTGGTTGATTAGATTAGTTTTGACACATTACAGCAATAATTTTTAGAATTATACTCAAATCGCTGTCTATGAATCAAAGAATATCTCTCAGAATTTTAAATTCTCTCAATCAGATCCATATTAATTTATTTACGAAAACATCTTCCATATCACATATGTCCATATCAAAAACAATATTGAACTCAAAAAACAAACCGAATTCGTGAATTACTCACGTATTGACATAAAATTAAAAAAAAAAGATGTTTTACTCACATGTCTTTCTTCAGCAGAGTTGATTCCTGTAAAAAAAGAAAAAAATATAAAACAAGAGAAAAATATGTATAATCATATAATACAAAGATACAAACTGCAATGGTATGTTTAGCTTGGAGACACACACACACTATCACAGCTTTTGTAGTACACATGTTCACTTCTGTTGCATTAATTTGATCAGATTACACAAAGAACGTCAAAGCAACTCTATCCATTCTGAATCTCTTGACTTTTATATTTCATTGAAAAGCTTTATAATTCTTTTTACAGACACTTTGTGGGATCAAAACTTATATAAGCAAAAACCATTTTAAGAGTGGACTGCAATGTAATATTACACTTAACTGATGCTACAGCACATTTTTTAGAAATTTTAATATTTATAAATTTAATTAATGACAATCTAGAACTGTATTTTATAATGGTAACTGATTATACTCGATCAATTTAAGTTTAGCAAATTGGGCTTACGATGGAATCCTAACTACGGTAGGCCTATAACGATGCTTGTGGATTTAATAATAATAACAAGGAAAATTAAAGAATATATCAAAATAATGGAGCCATAAAGGCTTTTTCCTGAGATACTAATAACTGCATTTTATCATCTTGCATAGAATTGCATCCAGTTATAAATTTATATAAACTTATAAAACTTATAAAAAAGACTCTTCTCAATGTTAGGACTGGTCTAAAAAAGTGTTTCAATATTTTTACACAAAATAACAATAACAAAAAAATCTACATACAATAATTTTAAACTTTTTAATTGAAACAATGTGTCAAGCATAACAATACATTTCACCATCGTAAACCCAGCAGGTTAATTAAAGCCCAAATGAATTGTTTCCATTATTATAAAACACATGTTTAATATTCCCTCCAAATCTACCATTGGACATGTAATCAATCAGCTGTTCTGGCCAAAGCTGTCCCTGTAAGCCCATTACGGAGCTTTGATCCGTGTTTACCTGCTGTGATAGTGTTGATGAACAAACCCCCCCCCCTCGTGTACCTTTGTTGCAACACCCCCCCCCCCCAGCTAACATAGGTGTCGTGTCGGGGCTATATTGTACTAATTAGTGTGCGCTGGATCGCGCGGGGTTTGTGATATTTTTAATTTTACGAGAGGTGTGTTACATTTGTGGTGTGATTTAACATTGCTCTTATAACACCAGTAGCTGTAGGTGTTAAGGTTGGCATTTGTTTTTTATATTTTTATTTTATATTGTTTCATAATAATTATACGTTTTTAGATAGTAAAATAAGAGTAAAGATGGGTGAAAAAGAATGGACATAAGAAGCGGGTTAGTCTTAAAAAATCTGTATGCGAAGAGTCCATAGATTAATTAATTATTATTTACTATTTCTGATTGTCATGACAAACAACAATCGAGATTGATCTTTTTTTGCGATACCAAACAAAATTAATAAAAATAATTCAATCTAAAGCCATTTACAACCCCCCCCCCCCCAAATCAATTGTTATTGGCCAAAATGAAGTGCTATGGCTGTAGTGAAAAAGTTGTATGTTGGTTTCGGTCCTATTTGGAGTCCCGACTGCAGGTTACCAAAATTGGGAGTGAGACATCAGATCCGCTTTGCAAATTGCGTGGTGTTCCTCAAGGTAGTTGTTTAGGACCTGTGCTGTTCAATTTGTACACGACTTTTCCAGAAGTGTAGAATATTGTACGGCACACTTGTATGCTGATGACTGCCAACTACACTTGTCATACAAGCCAGACAAGACATCAGAAGCAATCCGGCTCATCAATGCTGATTTGCACAGCATTTTTCAATGGTCTGTCATGAATGGCCTTGGATTGAATGTTGACAAGTGTGTAGTCATGCATACTGGACCAAACATTATGATGCAGGAATTGAGTAAATCTGCTATAGAAATCACCCTTGATGGCATGAGATTGTCTGTTTGCGACACTGTCAACACACTTGGTGTTGTACTTGACAAAGACCTCTCTTTTTCTGACCATGTCACATCTGCAGTTCAACGTGCAGTGGGTAGACTGAGAGGTCTTAGCAGATTTAAAACTCTACTGCCAGAATATGCCAAAATGCAACTCATGCGGTCCTTGGTCCTCCCAGCCTTTACATATTGCTTTCCTGCATATGGAAACAGCATCTCTAAGGAGGATATGGCAAGAGTTCAAAGAATTCAAATTCTGCAGTAAGGTTCATTTTTGGCCTTAACCGCTTTGACCACGTGTCTTCCTTCCGAGATGCTGCAAAGCTCATCCCAATGGATGAAATATGCAGGAGGCTGACCTGCTGCCTGGTCCACAAAGTGCTCACGCTGGGAGAGCCTCAGTACCTCAGCGAGAGGCTTTAGTACAGGGGGGAGATCTGCCTGCGTGGTACTCGTTCCGACCGCAGGCTTCACTTTCCTAAAGTGAGGCTTGAGGTTGGAAGAAAGTCATTTTCTTATTTTGGCCCGCAGTTGTATAATGGCCTCCCTCAGGACATAAAGAGCTCCAAATCGTATGGCTCATTCAGGGCCGCAATGCATAAAAACAAATGTAAATTGTAAATGTTTTTTTCTTTGTAGTTTTTTGTATATTAAATTTCTGTATATATTAGGTTAGTTTAGTTTTAGTTTGACTTGAGTAAGTTTGAAAATCATGTATATGAAACTCGCTTGTAAATAAAGGCCTTTTTATTTATTTATTTATTTATTTATCATCCAACACACTTGAAATGCAGCTTTGGTCAGGTTTTAGAGTATGTTAGATTCGTGTGTTTAATTTTTTTCGAAAAGGGAATACATTTCTTTAAAACCGTGAACATGGAAAACTGACCCAAACCAACATATTGAACAAAGCGTGTATTTTCATAAAAGTTAGTAGGCCTATAAGATTTTTTTTACATTGCACCAACGCGAATACACATTTCCATACATACTGTATCTCCGTTCATCGGCATCATCAACCCACGCGGTATTTCAACAGATGAATTGCTGTCGACAACGTGGCGCGTCGTGCCCAACATGCTCGAACATGCTCGGACATGCTTGGACATGCTTGATGATCACGTGTATAAACATGTGTTTAACGTGGCGCTGATGACGAATCGATTGGTTGTATGTCATGTGACAATCTTGTATGACCTTTTATCGTATCAATCATCAATAAAATAGCATAATTGACTATTGGATACTGAAATAGACATAGCATGTAAATGGACCGGGTTCATCTATATGGATCAAACGTACTAACTAGTAACTAAACTGTACCCAAATGTTTTTCATTCAAACAAAAATATAAAAGGAATGTCTACTTCAGTAACTAAAATTAATTTGTACTTCCAAACAAATGTTAAAGTGTGAGTACAGAATTGTCCAAGCATACACTTAAGTGTGTAAAACCTAATTACACTAATTAATCTATCTACTCTACTGAAAGTAAAAACACGCCTTCGTCCATCTACAGCGACATATTGTGAGATTGACCTAGGCATGACATATGGCAAGTTCCACATCAGTAGTCAAAGGCGAGATTATATGTCGCGCTGCTAAGCCAACAACAATATATGGGGATGATATTAACTAATCAAAGCATATTGGCCTACAATGCTAATGCGCCGTTTGATGTACTGGGCTACATACAGCAGTATACGTAATCAGATTGTAGTGGGGTAATATTCCAGACAATTGGGGTGGTTTTTGTACGTATGGAGGTAAAATCAGCAACTTAATGTAGAGGCAGAATTTTAAATTTGAAGCCTAATTACAAAATAGCTTTCATATGGGCGAAAAATTAAAATATCTTACTGTATTCATTCGAACAAAATATAATAATTGGATTATTTACCGATATGTATTGTAAAACAAGGCGTCACTTTTTCTCTTTTGTTTCATGTTAGTAATTGTTGGTGATTAAAAAAAAATGTTTCCTTATCAGTTTTATAAATATTACTTGTGGATCTTTTTTGGTGAGAAATAAAATAATTAGCGTTATCAGAGACTAACCAACGTACTTGGCTATAAAGCTGGACGTTTATACACGAACCTTCATAAACCAGAACTAGCACTTTATAAAAATGATTCGTTGTTTTTATATTTCGCTAGAGAAGTATTGTCTACATCAGTATCCATGTTGAATGGCAGCAACGTATCAACTCGACGGAAGCCACTCTAATCAGTGTTGTACAACGGGAACAAGCGTCTATACAGTATACACAGTGTCAATGTGTTCTGCAGTTTGCACTTTATAGATCGCAAAGCCAATGTTTCATGTGGCGGCGATGTTTGCTCACCGCGTCATCTGATTGGCTGCCTTTGATCACGTGACATGATCTCATCACCTGATTGGCTGTCAGGTGTCCACCGAGCTGTTAAGTGAAGCTGGTGGAAAACCTTTGTGACCGGGGTCTGATTTTGCCGCTTCACTGGCCAAGACTTAAGAGGGTTTCCTCTTCGCTGCCGACGAAAAGAGCCGAAGTTTCCTCTTGAGAGGGTCAGTATGGGAATCAGAAATATATGATTCTTGAGTGGAAAATTGTCAAATCGATCCGGCTGCAGTGGATGAGAAGTGAAATCAACCGATTCAAGGATGAAGAAACGGGGATTTCCCCTATTCAATTTCATACCAAGGTTCTTATAGGTTTTTGTTCAGTATTTTAATTTTGATGGTTTACGTAAATTATGTTGGTTTAGTGCTGTATCAATATTTTATAATGATCTGCTGTATTCTCTATCTGTCATGGTAGAGTAAATCTCATACGATACTTTGAGAAAGCTTGAGGGAGGTTAATGCACAGAGTCGAGAGTAGTACTCTCTTGTTTTCCCCCAACGTTTGTTGTTTAAAATTAGATGAATTTAAGAGTAAGTCGCCGAATAAACTTGCCCACCGATGTTGACGTCGTCAGACTCATTTCAAGACTTGAAGCCTAATCACCAAGAAAAAACTCTCCCTAACAAGTCTGTCAAATGCAACTGTACTAAACAACGATCAAAACACCCAGGCCAATAAGCCAGATAACCTTATGCAACTCGAACCGGAATTGGAA